GGAGCCCGCCTGCGGGGCTGGGGGCGGCCAGCCGGGGCCCCTGCCCGGCGGGCGAAAGGCGAGGTCCGTGACAGAGGGGTTGTTACTCGAGGAGCATGGCTGAGCGTCCTGCGGCGCTGCGTGGGGGTGTTTGTCCCGGGGTTGCTCCCCACTCTCTCTCCTGCAGCAGGGACCCACGCCGGACGGGTGTGGTGTGTGTACAGGGGGTTTGTGCCTGGCTCTGGGTAGGATCAGGAGGGAACCTGAAGAGGAATTGCTGCTTGGAGTTAAAGTTTTAAAATCTCTTGGAGTAATTTGCCTTTCACCTCGTTCAAACGCTCCTCCGAGCTCGGGTGGTGGAAGGCATGCTTTTTGAACCCAGACTTGGCCTCAGTCCCAGTGGAGACAACACGCTGGTGAGCAATTACAGTCGTAAGACGGTCTCAAGACCGAGCCGGGCTCGGTGCGGCGGGGGGCCTGGGCTGTAGGGTCGTTCTGCTGCAGCAGCCCTGCGCGAGCTGTGGTCGAGGAGCAGAGCCTTGCAGAGAACTATTTTGGGGTCCACATTCAATTAGGAAGAAAGTTTAAGATGTTGCAGCAGATTATAAGCTTGCTGTTAAATTCACTTACTTATTTCTCACTGGAAGGCCGGTGCCTGAATTGTTTTGGACAAAATAATGTGATTTTTTTTAATACAGCGATCACAGCGGTAGCTGTTGCTCTGACAACTGCCTGGCTGAGGTCCAAGGAAGGTCCGATGCACTAGAACATCAAGAAAGTTTGTGATTTCTTTTCGGGTCCATTATTGCTATTCAAGAAAGATAATCTACCAACTTTGCTACTCTTTCATGACTCGCTGCTTTACAAAGGGATATTCATTGCAGAACAGTAACAGAGCTGCCAAAGTACTTGCAACCCTATGTAAGCGTTCAGCCTAAACCCCAAAGTCAGTCCTTAAGCAGTGCAGTTTTCCAGGAAAATATAAGCTTTTTCTTACCTGCACAAAAGCCTCAACCCTTGGCTAATCCCCACAAGGAACTGTGATGAACAAGTACAGGTTATGTTGATACCTGGACTTTTTTCCACTGACACTTGCTCTGCTCTCCAGCTTTGCCTGCTGTTTGGAGTGCAGCACTGAGCCGACACTGGGAAGCAGGGCTCTGGCTGTGCTGATTTTTACCAGCTCTACCTCTGCTTTGGGGAGAGGTCAGGGAAGTTTGCTCCTTCTGCTTACGCTAGCCTGTCCTTGTAGTGTGTTTCCCAGCCTCGATCCCACGTGCTGGAGGTTAGAGGGCTTGTCCAGTCTGTGAGGGCCCAAGTGCAGTTCTCCTTTCTGATGGAGTGGAGTTGAGACCGTCATCTACTTCCTGAGCGTCAGGGAATGAAGTATTTTTGAAGTATGAAAGGCTGAGAGCTCTTACACTTGGTATAGTGTAACTCACACACTTATGGGAGCTAGAAATGGAGCGTGGGTCGTGGTCTTCTGTACGTAGGGCCTGGTAAGGTAGCTGTGATAAGGCACTTCTCTAAATGCCTTGTTTATGCGCCCTATTGCTGTTCAGGTATTAGGAATCTAGCTAGGCATCCAGCAGCTCTGGACTAGATGCCAACTCTAAACCATCAAGACATAATCAAGTCTTTATTAAAAAGCACACATTTATGTATCAGGAGAACTTTTTATTGCAAGAGGCTGAGGTGTCTGGGGATATAGGCATTGCCAGGGCTAGGTGGAAGCTGAGCAGCGGTTTTGAAGACCTGTATTTTGGACTGGGGCACCAGGTTTCTCCCATGAGTCCAGCCCCTAGTAGAGCAATGGCTGTTTGTTATAGGGCCTATTGAAAATACCACCCAACACAAAGGACTTCAGTGGAGAAGGCCAGGGATGCAGCCTCCCCTCTCACTGTTGGACTGTTTGTTTGTGCCTCTTCGTTGATGCCTTTGGGATTATGGCCAAAGTTTCCACTTTGTGGCTCAATTACGTACTGTGAAGTCTATGCAAGAATAAATAAACCTGCCTGTAAACAGATAAAACCTTGGCTTAACGATGAAGCACGCTGTTAGTCTGTGACTCTGTCTTCTTATTAAATCTGCTTCGTTCTTCTGGGACCCATTAGTGATGAGAGTACAGTGTTAGCTTTGTTTCCAGCACCAGGCAAGCTCACATCAGCTGCCGAGTTCATACTATGGCATGTGACTGCACTTGTTAGTGAAATTTGAAAGGATGAAGTGTTTCATCGCAGTGCCATCATCCAGTGGGCTGACTTCATCCCCCTGCTGCTGGGGGCGTTGACCAGGCCTTATCTGCCCAACAGAGGTCATGCTTTGGTTTGGTTTTGATTTTAAAGTTAAGTTTTCAGGGCAAATAGGATATAAATCCCTGTTACAGTTTAACTGTTGTTTGCAAAATTGGAATGGGTCTTAAGTCACTCCACATTCTCTGTAATGGATATATTGTGATTTGGCTAATGGTCAAAACAGAACTAGCTAAATATGGAAGTCAGCAGGCCTGGTGAAATACATGCTGGAATATATATTGCTGTTATAAGCTCATATTTGTAAAGGCACAGGAGGACGGGGCTCTGAAATGTCATAATGAGAGAGGTGAAAATAACGCTGGTGTCTCTGGGTTGGTGTTCTTGTGAGCAATTCATTTGACATAGTACATTTTCAAGTCTGGTATGACATAGATACTGTCACAAAACCCAACACCTACAGAAGAGATTGCACCGCTACAAGGTTAAAAATGTATTCAGGAATACACTACAGTTCTGCTTTGGTTGTAAAACTCTCATGAGCTCTTAAAGCTATGTTAGTATTTTTTAAAGATATGTATATAATTTAGTAGATGCTTGTTACATTCTGTCATGATTCTTTTTTGAATTGCTGCATCTTCTGGTAGTGTGTACTTTCTCTTTATTCCCACTAACCCACAGGAAGCTTGGTTGCATCAAGCCCAAGTATCTAGGCCTTTATTGCCCTTCTACTTTCACATTCATCCAACTGTATTTAGTAGTTTGGAGTGGAACATTTTAAATGCTAATTTAAAAAATGCTTCCTGTGAGATCATCATCTTGAATTTATCAGGAAACAAGAACTCTGAAATCATGGCGGGGAAACCCAAGCTGCACTACACCAAGGGAAGGGGGAAGATGGAGTCAATCCGATGGCTGTTAGCAGCAGCTGGGGTTGAGGTTTGTACCTTTTTTTATAAAGTGATCAGATTAATCTGTGATTAAAATAAGTATTATTTGGAAAGGTTTCCCAGTTACATCTGTGCTTTGAGATATGTACAACATCACATACTGTGATGCAGAATGCTTAGATTCAGTGATACACTCTCACATGTTGTATTGATATATTCCTTGAGCAATAGTTGCACAATAAAAGGATTTTAACATACAAAGAGAGTTGTTAAGTGTCAGTTTTTGAAACATACTTTAAGCTGAGATCCTAAATTGTTGCTACAGACCTTAACTGTGTATCTGGCTTTTTTTGAATGCTCATTACTTCCCTGTGTCTCATGATTGCTCTCCACTGATAGACCATACATGCCACGTGAAAAACTTTAGAACATTATCTCTAAACAAAGTGCTTTTCATTCTTTGGGTCAGGACATGAGTAGGATAGATCAGCAGAGCTTCCCTGAAGCAGTAGGGGAGCTATCTAGATTCACATCAGGTGAAAACTAACCTAAGGCATCTTAATTTCTACATTCAGTTTTTGTTTGAAACAATTTCCTCAGAAACTATTTATACTCCATTGGAAATAAAAGGCTTTTTTAATGGTGCTCACTTGTGAATGTTGCTGACAGATAAGCTCCAGAGCACCAAGCGCTGAGGAAACAAAGATCTTGCCCTCATTCAAATGTCCTTCTCATTTAAAAAAAAATGCCAGCAGCGGGAAAGACAGAGATAAATGCTGTGTAACAGAGGCATGACTTATTAAAAATTTCTCAATATTTCACGTGGCATCAGCTGCTTTTAAGTGAATGATTTAGTTAATTGTTCATGCAGGCAAGTAGACTGGTCTTTATAATGAGAAAGCTTTTTTTGCAGTGTAAAGCATTGTACATTACTGGGGGGTGGGGGACACTGTAGTCCTGGGTTGTTTGCTGGAGCAGAGATGAAGAATAGGAGTAGGGGGTCAACACAATCATGAGAAGTATGGGGAATGGTGTGGAGAGGTGGAGTCTAACTTCCAGACTTCCTTCCACTTCTCCGTTGCTTTTGGAGTGACACAGTGTTGTTTTCTATCATTGCTTTTCAGTTTGAGGAAGAATTCATAGAAACGAAGGAAGACCTAGAAAAATTACGCAATGGTGAGTCTGTAAACTGTACCCTAAACATAAATTCACACCAATATAACAAAAGGACAACAGGTAATATTTTTGTAAGACCTCCAAAACGATGTGACCTGTAAAGAGAAGATTTGAGAGACCTGCTTGCTTGCAGATGCTTTCATCCCTCAGAGTTGGAAATGTCTTGGTGTGTTACCAGGTCTCTTTCTCCAATTCAGTGTAGTACTGCAGCAGTCTGAGTAGTTTGCTTCTTTTTCTTCCCAAGATGGATCCCTGCTATTTCAGCAAGTGCCCATGGTGGAGATCGATGGGATGAAGATGGTGCAGACTAGAGCCATCCTCAGCTACATAGCAGCAAAGTACAACCTCTACGGAAAAGACCTGAAGGAGAGAGCCTGGTACAGTAACCGTGCATACTATCCTTACTTCTACTTTTCCATGCTTTTTAATATTTATGAGAAAAATACTGCTGTGAAATATCTGCATGTAAAGGTGCATATACCTCTGCCAGTGCTTTGTCTCCTCAGATCCAGGGATTGGGTGAATGGACTTTGTGATTCATAAATGATTGTTAATTGTCAACATAGTGAGAATGTTATGGCCACCTTCAGGCTCATTTGGTTTCACAGAGACCAGAAATGCATTAAGTTCCTGGGCAACTGCAGGACCTTAATGCACTAATAAAGGTTAAGTATGCCTTTTTTTCCCTCTTTAAATGGGAAAACAGTAGGAAAAACTACAACTCCCTGCAAAAAATGAAGTGGCTTTAAGTGTTCCAATTGCCCTTTTTCAAAATGTAAACAATCTTTCACAGCTGATTTAAAAAAAGACCTGTTCAGTGGCTTAATGCTACTGAAAGTTAAAACAATATTTTCCTAATATTACTTTACTATGTAAGCTGTGGATACTTCCTGTTGTCATAATTAAAGGGCTAATGCAAAAGCAAAAATCTGTATTTACTCTTTCTTTAATCGAACTTTTGCGTGACTTCTTTTTCTTTTTAAAGTCCTTAACCTAACTGACTACCACTTACTGTAAACGGTTTATTCTGTGATAATGGAGGGGCAGCTCCAGAGATTGTGGGGATTATTATGGACTGGCATGTCTGAAATGGCAGTTGGTAGCCGGGAACCTTTCATGATTAGACCTCAAAACTATTTTTTTTTTCTCTAGCGTGGTTTGCACATGTGGTCTTTTCTCCCACCGCATAGATGAAGAGATTATCAATGGAAAACAGTGTGAACTCTACTTCAGATACATTAGTTGCAGACTCTTATTTATACCTTGGTTGTTGCAGACTCTGTAAGCCTGTTTATAAAGATCTATGCTTTGAAAAAACCTGACCTGGAATCAAAGTGGAAGAACAAGAAAACAAACTAGTGTCTTATGTTAAGTTCGCTAATAAGCATTTTACTCGGTGATCACTTCAGCATCGTATTTCAGGAAAATAACCAAAATGGAATGTTCAAATGATAAATGTGAAATAAAAATATTTGTTTCAGGATTGATATGTACGTGGAGGGAACAACAGACCTGATGGGAATGATCATGTATCTTCCTTTTCAACCAGCTGACACAAGAGAAAAGAATCTTGCCTTAATGATTGAACGAGCTACAACCAGGTACTTTCCTGTTTATGAAAAGGTAAGTGATAAATCAGCAGTAGTCCACAAAGACAGTAAAATGAGGTATAGTCCCCACTCCCCTGTCCCCACACACCTACTTTCCAGAAGGCAAGTGACAGTACAACTCTGGAACTCTGTGATGGAGCCAGTACTCAGCAATGTGAAAAGAGGGCCACAAAATAATACTGGGCTGGTTTCAGTACTGAGTATCTTTGCTGTCTTCTTTAAGACTCCTCAAAGAGCAGATCCTACTTTTTAAACCTAGCTTAGTGGCTGATAGGTCCTAGCATCTTGCATAAATGCACCATTTAAATACTCGTGCCAGCCTTCAGAACTTATTGCCTGGAAGTGTAATGTACTCCTGCTGTTCAAAGTTAAATATAATTGTGCTTTATAATTAAGGACCTAATTCTGTGATGTTTCTCAAACCCATTGCTTGAATGTATTATACTTACAGACTATTACTGTCTTTTTCTGAATCGCTATTTGCACATCCTTACGTGTGCACAAAGAGGCTCTGCAAACAGGACGTATCTAGCTTAAAAGCATAAAGCAATTATTTACTGACTAGCATGCACTAAAGAGTTAGCCTCTAATGAGCTACGAGGTAAGGCATTGGTATGCTTGCCACCCCCATAGAGCACATGCAGAGTCTTTCTTGGCTAGGCAAGAGCTGGTCAGGAGGGGACGGGTTGTTCTTTGCTTCTCCCTGGAGCATAGCCTGGATGTTACTGAGTGGCCATTTTCTGCCAACTTGCTGTTTGTTCTGTTGTTTTGTTTTGGTTTTCCCTTTAGGATATTTTAATTCTTTTTGGTGTTAAGGTTTTCCTGTTTGAATTGAGCCAGCTGTGATCCTCATCTCACTAGCCAACTTCTGTTTGTAACTTTACCTTTTGTACCTTGTATGGTTGTATTACACAGACTTTCTCACAGCACTTCTTCAGAGCATAACAGTCTCTTCGGAAGTCTGTGCCAAGGGTACAAAGCCGTGTTGTTTCAGAGCTGAGCGGGTTTCTAGCTTGAATCCTTGGTTCACAGGCAGCTGAAGTCCATTCAAAAAATACAGGACTTGATGCAATTTCATGTGCCTCTTTATCAGAGCCTTAAATTGCACAAGCGAAACCCACAGAGGCTGCCCTGTGAAAAAAAAATTGCACACAAATGACATAAGCCAGCACTCCTGTAATCAGAGTTCATATAGATCCACTGCCATACCAATGGAAGGCTGTGCTGAGAGAGATTGATTGCACACATTAATCTTTCAAAGATATGAAGTCTGATAACATAAGTATTTAAGTTATTAAAAAATAAAAAAGCAAATTTAGAGACCAGTATTCTCCAAACCTGTGCCTAGGTGGCATAAACTACCATTATGATATGTTTTAGTGTATATGCTCACTGGACAAAAGTCTTTAAAATAATCCTTGTTCACTTAGGGTAAAGACACAGCTAAACTTTTCCATTATTTTTAGCATAGTTAATTTTGTTAGAATGATTAATAATTTTCCTTCTGTACCAGCTGTCTAAGTTCTCCATTGGTTCAGCTTATCAGGGTTTGCAGTCGATGTGTTATGCAATCACAGTATCAGACAGAAAATATGCCTAGCTATGAGTGTTCACTTTAAACACTCAGCAGCCAGATAGAGCAGCAAAACGTAATATAAAGCACTGCAGGCAGTCTGGTTCCAGTGCTTTGTTTGGGAGTTTCCATATGGCTTTGATAGACAAGCTGTGGTGGACCTTGTTAGAGCAGTATGGGAAATAACTACAGGTAGTTATCAGCCTTGCCTCTGTCAGAGGTTGCTGCCTCTTTTATAGTGAAGTTGGCAGATGGGACTGGAGAAGGAATCACCTTCCAAAGTCACAGACTGATGTCCTAGTTTAGTGCACATTTGTTAGTTGTTTAAGTGTAGCATTAGAGTATATTAGGCACAGACAGGTTTTCTTCTCCTGCTTCTGCTACGAGGGTGATAGTCTTAAGGTAAAAGGTATCAGCAATCAGCAGTCTCAAATTTTGCTGAAACATCTGGGAATTCACTTGGCTTATACTACAGGTGAACTGTCCTGACTACCCCTTACAGTTTGGTCCTGTTTCTTTTCTATGATTCAAGTCTTTCTTGTGGGGCTGGACTGGCTACAGCCACCTCCTGCAGTAGGTGAGAGTGAGTGATAGGTCCACGCACACTGAAACATGAGTTCCGATTTAATTTTTTGTTGTGAGAATACCTATCACTTTCTAACTTTATAGATTCTTGCATGGATTTGCTCTGCTGTGTATTTTTGTAGAAATCTGTCTGTAATGAAATATCTAGATAAAATTGTTACATCCTATATGACTTTTTTTTTTCTTTTGTATTTTGTAGGCCTTAAAAAACCATGGGCATGATTATCTTGTTGGCAACAAATTAAGCTGGGCAGACATCCATCTGCTGGAAGCCATTTTAATGGCAGAAGAATGTAAGCCTGATATACTGTCTGCATTCCCTCTGCTACAGGTTAGTAATCATCTGATCTCAATATGGAATGTAACATACGTTTCAGGTTGGGCTTGATGATCTCAGAGGTCCTTTCCAACCTTAACAATTCTATGATTCTATACAAATGTCACTGCCCAGTTTTAAAAGGTAATTGATGTTTAAATCTTTTGAACAATTGTACTGTGTTACTGACAGTTCTCTGGTCTACTTCTGTTGAGTACGACAGCCGGAACACACGCGCACCACCTTGCTCCCAGAGCTGCTAGGGGCTCACCTTTCTCCAGCTCTACTTTTCCCAGCTGTTCTCAGCTGGCAGGAATTCACTTGTTAATGCTACCAGTTTGGTCCTGTAACTGCTACTTCCATGTCTTCAAACACAGCAATGAGCACCAAGAGGGGAAGTCTGTGGCCTGTTGGGTCTGCAGTTCCTGCCCTCTTTTTGTTAGGAAAATTATATTTTGAAGAAATCGCATACAAGAGCTGTTAAGTTTCTTACGTCTTGTCTTCCATGGTGCTTTGCGCTGCGGTATTCCTGTCCTTGCCTCTTTTTTTGCCCAAATATATCCGCAGGATTTGGAGTCAGGCTGTCGTTTTTGCTTTTTCTTTTTTCTTCCACCTCTACCAGATGAATCTTAACTCTTTAATATTAATTTCTCCCATCCCCATCTGGGAGACTAATGTAAACGTCATACCACTAGCATTGCACATCAGAAGATTCACACTTGTTTTTTCTAAAAAGACTAATATGTTGTAGGTGTGGTCTTGCCTTTTTTTTTTTAATAAAAAATGGAGAATGCTGAGTGCTGAGCTGGCTATAAGGAGCTACTCCCTTTCTCTTTAATAAGTATGTCTGAGAAGTAAAAATCCAAGTCACCTGATTTTTAAGCTATAAAGGATGGAATTATAATTTCCTGACTCTCTTTTGCTTTACTGCTGCTTTTTACAGGCTTTTAAAGGAAGAACAAGCAACATTCCAACAATCAAAAAATTCTTGCAGCCTGGCAGCCAGAGGAAGCCACCAATAGATGAGAATTTTGTTGCCATTGTGAGGAAAATATTCAATATCTAATCATGTGGCTGCTGAAGGTAACACAACTGTAGGATATTACTAGAGCTGTGCTTTATAAGTGTAAACTGCATAGATATATTCTGTAGCTTGCATCATATAGCCAGTCACATGATAATCGTTGAAACAGAATACAGTTTTCAATTAGAGTAAAAGGCTAATTTGGACCTGTTGAGTCCAGAAAGTGTATTTCATGGAGCAATTATATGAAATAAAATATGCTGATACTTTGTGTTTTTTTTAATTACAGTACATGCGTGGTAGGGTAAAATGTTTCAGCTGTAGCTTCCAGGGTACTGTGGAAAGCAAGTCCGCTTCCCCTTCCTCTCGCCATTTTAATAAACTGCGGGAGGAAAAGCCACTCCAGAAAAATGGCAAAGTCATTTAAATTCAGGCCTAGAATCTTCTGGTTTTGCTTTCTAGGTGGTCTCCTAGATCTCCTAGATGACTGTCCCCCTGCTGTATTTCACTGCTGTCTCGGTACTTTCAGAGCTGCAGTTTAAGGAAAAAAAAAAAAATAAAAAAAAAATTAAAACTCACGATCATCATAAATTTATGGGCAAAAGTAACAAACTTGTTTAATACCCACATGAATCTCTTAGAAGAGATTTTATTCACTGAAAGATCAAAGTACATGTCTTTAGCTGGATGTGGTTTTCATCCATTGAAACCACCTATTCCCTTGCTCTTGTTTTTGCTGCTTGGCTAGATGGTCACAGTGAGGAAAATGCCACTTGACTGTTTTTTTGCAAGGTTTTACCCTCTTCAGTCACTACCCAAGTAGTTGTAAAGAGAACTGCACTGGCTGCTTACCTTTTCAGTAAAAGAGTTAGTTTCATCTCAACAGTGCTTAAAAGCATTCACTACTCTTTCAGATTCTTTACCCTAATTTCAAGGGAAGCATCACTGTCCCCTTTAAGAGCAGTGCCATAAACTATTCTCCTGTGCAGTTAGTTGTTTTTCTCAGCAAGACTCAAACCGATTAGGCAGAGAGGACAGTCAGCCAGTGTATGTACAGAATTGCTGCCCAGCAAAGTTATCTCCTTTTCCGACTTACGCTAAGAAGAGGCACATAGTGTTATCTCAGAGGTACACAAACCAGAAACACCCCAATCACCTACACACTGCCCAGATGAGCTCCTAAGAGTTTTACGTTAAAATTACCTAGGTGGCTGGAAGCAGTAGTTTGCAATGCCCACCGTAGTACTCAAGTTTCATTGGGCTACACCTCTGTTGCAAACAAGTGTTGTGATCACTGAACTGTCACAGAGACTGGCACGGGACATCACCTTTGTGTTTTGTGAGTCCTCAATCCCACAGGGATATGTTGGACTGGCTGAGAACGCTACTTGTTTGGGCTGCTCAGGCATTTAAGCAAAAACTTCTGCGTTACAGTTGGGCTGGGAGGCTAGCCCCAGGCCCCTGCCCCCGTGGGCTAACTCAGTCAATGTACAAAAGGCTCAACTCTGGACATGCTCAAAAATACAAAATCTTACTGCCTTTAGGATCTGGGCTAGCAAAAACTGCAGGATGGCTTCTGCATTTCAGCACTAGGTTGCCTAAACTTTAATTGGAGCTTAATCTAAGGCAGGATTCACCTTGTCTACAGTACAAATATCCATGTCGGCATTGGTCACCCAAGCCCGTTACGGTACATGGCAGTTCAATTCCTCTAAACTGCCTTTAAGTTCTACTTCAGGATAAAATAAACCACATCTTGTGTGTCCAGCCGTCATTTTAGGTACCAAGATCCCAATCCGAGATCCATAACATATCAGCTCAATCCCCTGTAAGCCTGGCGACACCTGGAGATGACAGATACCAACGTTTCTTAGCAAAAGATTCCAGAGCTGGGGGCTGTGGTTTGTGGGAATTGCCTTTTTTTTTTTTTTTTTTTTTTTTTTTAAATTGTTTTTTAAAACTTTGGTGTTTTTCAAAAC